TCGGCTAATCCGGGCACGTGCAGGTGGCATGCCGGCACCGGTAGCCGCTCGTGCCGCAGCCGCCCCTGCGGGGACCCCCGTTGAGATCGCCGTACCGAGGTGCCCCCCCAACACCAGCTCCGGTGGGCGACGGGGGGGTTATCACCCCTCCGCGCGCCTCTCAGCACCCCGGCAATCCTCTGCCGTGGCATCTGCCACACCAATCCCGGCAGGAGCTGCCCAGTCCTCTGGGATTACCAGAAAATTGCCCCGTCCGTGGAATTTCTCGGGCCCGAAATCTGACGCGCTTTTTGTCGTGCTCTGATGAATCGAGCCTTAAATGACCGGTTGTTAAATCTCCTGCGTGGGAATGTATCGCCCTGCTCCCGCCTCCCTCCTCCGAGAGCATCCAAACCCCACCGGGCCCAACCGGCAGCGCCGGTCCCAGGGCACGTTACGGCACGCTGCCGCCGCAAACCCGCCGAGCTGCAAAGAGGGAAAAAAAAAAAAAACCCCGTCTGCAGCACCGGAGCCAAAAATATCTGCAGCAATAAGAATAATTAACGGGAGCCCCACGTCGGGTTGTGTGCCGAGCGGCTGGGTGCCCACGCCACCGTAACGGCTGCCTGCCGCGGCGGGCACAGCCCCGGCGCAGCCGCCCGGTGACACCGGGGCAAAGGGACCCCCCCAGGGGGTGCCACCGTGGAGCCCTCTGCAATGGCAAGGGGCTGGGTGCCCCGTGCCCAGTGCTGGCGGGATCCTCCGCCGACCCCCCCACCGCGTCCCACCGCCCCCCCCAGCCGCAGTTGCCGGGGCGGGCGCGGGGAGCATCCCCCCCTCCCTGGTCCCACTGCCGCGGGGGGTTTCTCGGTGGCTGCTGTGACATTTGCTTTTTTCCTGAAAGTGCCTATTCTTATTTAGTAAATATTTGCCTTTTCCCGAGCAGGGTGGCTAATTACCGAGCTGCTCTTGCCGAAACCTGCCACTGCCGTGTGCAGGCGGTGAAGGAAAAGGCCCCGGCTCGGGGGCATCGTCCCCCCACACCGCCTGAGCATCCCACCCTGGCCGGGGGGAGCGGGGAGCCGGCAGGGACCCCCCGGCCGCAGCGGTGCCAGGGATGCGCCTTGGGGTGCCCCATCCGGCTCTCGGGGTGCCGGCAGAGCCACCGGTGCCCGCTGGCACGTGCCGACGTAGAGGCTGGTCCCCGCCGGCGAGGTTGCCATAGAAATTATCCTTAACAAGCCTATAGGTTTTAATCACGGGATGCTGCAGCTGCCGCACGGCCCCCGCTCCCCTCCGGGGTGTTTTCCTCATTAAACCCACCGGGACGGAGACCCCGCCGTGGGGCGGTTTGCAGGGGATACCCGTGCACCGGCGGGGTTTGGCATGGGGCACCCCTAACCCTGCCAGCCCCCCCGCTCCGTCGCCTGCGCCGAAGGCCGACGTGCCCTCGCCGGCCGGGCTGGCTGTCGGCAGCGAGCGGCAAAGCATCTCTGGCAACCGAAATCTCCCGTTCCCCCCCCCCCCAAAAAAAAAAAAAAAGCGCGGGAGGGTGGGCGGCAGGCGGATGGCGTGTGTGCGAGGGGGGGGCCCGTGCCTGGCATCGCCGCCGGAGCCGCCAATGAAAGGCTTTTATATTCCTGTCGCTCCGTTTTTCGCATGGCTCTGCGAAGCCGGTGACGAAGGCGCTCGCATGGGGCTGCCTGCAAATACCCACCCGCCCTCGTCCGTCCGCCTGGACATCTGTCTGTCCCTCGCCCGGCCGTGCCGGCTTTTTCCGCCCCCCCCATCCCGTGCCGCTCCGTCCCTGCAGCCCCGACCCTCGGCTTCCAGCCCCTTGCCCGCAACCCCAGCCTCCTGCCTGCATCGCCGCCCCCCCCACCTGCAGAGACGGTGGGAGATTCAGGCAGGAAAGTTTCCCGGCCCTGGGAGCAGGGATCGGCCAGCTCCGGTGCTGGGGCACTTCCAGCAGTGCCCCGGCCTCCCCCTAGTCCCACCGCAGCCCCCGGGCACACTGCAACCCCTTTAATCGAGCACGCTGCAGCCCCCCTGATCACGCTGCAGCCCCCCTGATTGCGCTGCAGCCCCTTCAGTTGATCACAGCGCAGCCCCCCTGATCACACCCCCGCCACTCGAT